TACTGATATGCCTGCCCCTCGAAAGCAAACCGAAGAAACGGTCTGTGTCGAGGTAAAATGGAGACATGAAAGTAGGCGTCCTTCAGGTCTATCGCTGCAAACCAATCCTGGGGCCGAACACATTCGAAAATGCGTTTGGCCGTGAGCATCTTGAATGGCAGCCGGTGAAGGGTGCGGTTCAAAACGCGCAGGTCCATAATCGGTCGTAACCCACCGGTTTTCTTGGGAACAATGAAGTAGGGGCTGTAAAAACCCTGACTTCATCTCGGCTGGAGGGACGGCCTCGATTGCACCCTTCGCCAGCAGGGTGGCAACCTCCGCTCTCATGATCGGGGCATTGCCACCGACCACCGTAAAGCGGACTCCCCTGAAGCGGGGAGGAGACCGTGCGAACTGAATCGCATAGCCGAGCCTGATAGTTCGGGTGACCCAACGGGACAGATTGCGGAGCTCTAACCAAGCCCCCAAAAACTGATAATCCGAGCCACATGCCATCCGGCTCTGTGTGCTCAGTGATGGTGTCAATTCTTTCTTTAACCACATTAGGGTACCAGTGATGGTGTCAATTCTTTCTTTAACCACATTAGGGTACCGCCCACCCGTGGGTGAGCGGCGGAACAAAAGATTCTCCCCCGGCCCTCCTCTGGGGAAAGGAGGGGGCCTGCTACCGCCTCCTGAACAGAAAGAAGTGATGCCATCACTGAGCAGCCCGTCTCAGGACCGCCGCTTAGCCTGGTGTTTAGCGGGGCGCGGGGGCTGAGGGGGCTGTGGCGCCTTCCTGCGGTTTCCTCCACGACGCGGTCCGGGTGAAGGCTGCTGCTGGGGCCGTGCAGCAGAGTCTTACGGGTTTGGAACAACATAAGGGTTTGTATTAATTACAGAATTTTCATTTTTTGAAGGAACTATTCCTTTAACTGCTAAAAGAATGCCTGCTTATCTCTTCTAATTTGCCATCGTCTGTGGCTTGGTTTAGTCATCATGAGTTTCATCATGACAAAACATGAGCTTCAGATTTGACAACATTTACATTTTAGCTAGTTTAACATTCAAAGTGTAAAAAAAAATAATAGTATAAACACTGCTTCTTTACCTTGGTCCTTTTACTGCATGAGACAGCCATTCAAATAATTACAGTATGCAATGCAACGATAAGGAACTATTTATTTACAGCTTGGTCTCATTGATAATACAAAGTATGTAGGTATTTTACGTTTTTGCAAAGATAGAAAATATACTTTTTAGTACGTTTGGATAGATGCTGAAACGTATAATATAGACGTATCTGCAACATTTAAACGTAACATTATTACGTTTTTACAGCTACAAAACGTTAACTATTTACGTATATTCTTCATCATGAAGAGATCTGTATAATTTCCCTTTTTACCATTTTTATTATTTAAAAATAAGTCGATAAGTCAAACCACGAACGTCGTGCTGAGTGATCTGAACTCTATGAAGTTCAGCGAACTTCTGAACTGTATGAGTGGTGTTCGGGGATCGACTTATCGAGACTATTTTTTAAGATGGCTCCTGTCTGTATACACGAAGTGAACTGTCTTCATAAAGTATCTTCTTATTAAACGGTCTGTACACAGTTCTCAATGCTTCGTTTTGCATGTATGGAGCCTCATTATGTTACTGCGTGAGTTATGGGACTATTTTGAGCCTTGTTAGTGGTTTAAACTAGCGATTTCTTTTTACTTAGTAAATGCCCCCATTACTAGCATTATACGCTAAACAGTTTTTAGAGATAAAACTCTTTACATCCCAGACAGCAAACTGACATTGAATCAACGTGGAAACAACGTCTCTCATGACATCGAAACAACGTTGATCTGGCATTGTTTTGCTCATCGAATGACGTTGATCCAACGTCAAACTTTTGCTGATAATTTACTCACCCCCCACCTTTTGAACGTAATTACGTAATACGTGACGTTGCAAACGTGCCTCACAGAATATGGCAAGGCTAGCATTTGTCCTTATAAAAGTTACATTCTTCAAAGCTAAATGAAAATCGAAAATTTGTTTGCTTTCATAACGTTGAAACAACGTTGATTTCAAGTTGATTTTCCGTTAGTTTTGAAAGAATGACGCGTCTGACAATGTCAGATCAACGTTGTTTCGATGTCATGTTTCCACGTTGATTCAATATCAGTTTGCTATCTGGGATTCGATTATCATGAAAACAAATCTCAGAGAACGATTGACTAGGTACCGATGTTTTATTAGACCAAAGGTTCATTGTTCGTCGGAGTTGTCCTTTAAGTTAGAGCCGCTAAAGCCAGTGCAACTACCATTGCAAACATAAACACTAGGCTTTTTTTTCCCTCCAAAAATATAGTCTAAAACGTATCTAAGTTGTCCCTGCCTCTCCAAATGCAACACTGACATTAAAGGATTAGTTCACTTTTGAAAAAACTTTTGCTGATAATTTACTCACCCCCATGTCATCCAAGATGTCCATGTCTTTCTTTCCTCAGTCGAAAAGAAATTTAGGTTTTTGATGAAAACATTCCAGGATTTTTCTCCATATAATGGACTTCAATGGGAACCAGATGGTTCAAGTATCAAAAGACGGTTAAAAACTGTTTCAGATGCAGCTTCAAATGTCTTTAAACGATATCAGACGATGAATAAAGGTCTTATCATGCGAAACGATCGGTTATTTCAAAACTTATTCCAAAAATGTAACTTTTATAAGGACAAATGCTAGCCTTGCCATATTCTGTGAGGCGCGTTTGTAACGTCACGTAATACGTAATTACGTTCAAAAGGTCACGGGCGACGTAGCCGGAAGTACAGAATCAAAATCGTCCGACATCGTTGTTTTTCCTTTTAATTCCTTTTTTTGTAAACGGTGTTTGAGTTAGTTTGCACGTTCAACCTATGCGTTCAACTTGTAAACACTGACTCTGTACTTTCGGCTACGTTGCCCGTGACCTTTTGAACGTAATTACGTAATACGTGACGTTGCAAACGCGCCTCACAGAATATGGCAAGGCTAGCATTTGTCCTTATAAAAGTTACATTTTTGGAATAAGTTTTGAAATAACCGATCGTTTCGCATGATAAGACCTTTATTCATCGTCTGATATCGTTTAAAGACATTTGAAGCTGCATCTGAAACAGTTTTTAACCGTCTTTTGATACTTGAACCATCTGGTTCCCATTGAAGTCCATTATATGGAGAAAAATCCTGGAATGTTTTCATCAAAAACCTAAATTTCTTTTCGACTGAGGAAAGAAAGACATGGACATCTTGGATGACATGGGGGTGAGTAAATTATCAGCAAAAGTTTTTTCAAAAGTGAACTAATCCTTTAACCAAATGCAATAACAGCTTAAAAAGTACTTGGATGTGTGTTTCATTTTAAATTTACCATTTAATAATGTGATCGCTGTTGCGTGTCCATAGAAGAACATGACAGCCCGCGTCTGTTTTGCAACTATTGGGGCTTCCATGAACCACGTGACAGCCTTGCGGCGACATCAAAGCGTGTCGCAACTCTCTCAATATCACTGCCGTAAAACACGACGTAACGCTTCTCAAGGGCGCAATTTTTGAATTTGAATTCATCACCAGCGTGGGATTTGATTTGACATGTACGGTCGCTGCTGAGAATGGAGAAGATCACGACTGAAAAAGGCTGAATTAGGAGTTGTTTCTTGCAAACAACTGGATTCTAAAGATTTGGATTACATCAAACTAATAAAATTGATGTCTTTTGTGAATTTTTGTTATGTTTTATAGGAGAAAACGCTTTATGTGTCTCATAGTAAATAAACTAGGTATATTACAAAATGGTTAAACTAATAGTGTATTGTTTAACACCATGCAGGCGAAACGAGCAAAATGTTAATATTTATGAGTATTATATCAATAAATTCGACTGAAAACTTAATAAGACAGTGGAATGCAATAGAGTCAAAACATAATGCTACTACTGATATGCATAAATTGTGATAGGCCTACGTACAGTACGTCGGTGGATTTGTTCATACGTAAATAATTTGCGTTTTTGTGCTGTCAATACGTAAATATTTTACGTTTAAGTACTGCAAATATGTCAGTATTATGTTTCTCCGCATATAAAATGTAATTACATGTACATATGATAGAACGACACTTTACGTACAAATATAGGCTACGTATTCTCATGAGATCACCTTATTTATTATGTAGAATATATTTCAGATTTAATTGTACTTTGCCATTTATAATCTCTTTGTTGACCTTTTTTCCCCTTAATCCCATCGTAAATTTGTTGTCATAGCCCTTCACATCACCATGAAGGACATAGCCTAGGCCTACTACACATCATCAGGTGCTTCTTCTTTGACAACAAACAACCTTCTTTTCAAAAACGCCCTAATGAGATTAACAGATTAACACAGATTAAGAAAATCAGACCGATTTATCCATTTCAGGAAGCCGAGTTTAGCTTCACTATATTTAGGCTACTACCTATTTATGACTCTTGGTTCTTAAATTACAATGGTAAAAAGCCTTTCCTAAACAGTTTCACGGCTGTTTTAAAAGAAGCTTGGCATTTACACGCGCGTGTACATTTCGCGCGTGACATTATGGCATGAATTCATAGATGTTTTTCAATGTAATTTTCAGCGGTACATTTTTCATTAGTATTATGTAGTTTATTCATCTTTATAAACACAACAAAATGACAATCATCTTTCTTAAAAATGCGGTTATATCGAGTAACCATTAGTTTATTCAAACACACAACAAAATGACTATCATCTTTCCTGGAGGGCGGTTAACGTTACATTGAGTAACCACATTTGAGATAAAGCACCCTACTGTGATCAATTTGATGCTCGTGCGTCTGTTGCAATTCGTTCGAAGAGCATCTAGTTTATCAAAGTTAAAACACTGAACGACTTATTCAGGACACAAGACAGCACGAAGATGGCACACAGTAGCCTACTCTTAATAGTCAGTGACAATGAAAAGGAAATAAGCGTCCAACACTCACCTCAGGGGGATTTTTACAGCCAGATATCTGTCGATGGCAACCGCAAGAAGACTAAATATTGAACTTTGAGTCAGTACCAGAACAAAACACGCCAGGAAAAGACATCCATAAAAGTCTGAGCGCAGACCAATGCTTATAGTGATGGCAAAAGGGATGGCAAGACAGCCAACCAGAATATCTGCCACGGCTAGTGACACCAGAAAGTAATTGGTGGCGTTCTTGAGAGTGGAGTTGATGGCCACAGCCCAGCACACCAGTACATTACCAGCGATTGACAGTACGGCGATCACTAGTTCTATAGCGATGTACAGAGAATCCATTGCTGCACACTTCACAGAGAAAATCCTTTAGACAGTAGGCTAGTTAGGATGTCATAAGTCTGTCTATCACTCTGTGGAGCTTGTCCACTGGTAAAAGAAAAATAATCCACGGATCTCCAAAGTTTGTGACTTGCCAACACGGACATCTGTTGGTGTAAAAAAACAACATTTTTGCATTAATTCTCTTAAGATAATTATTTAAAGCCATTAGAGGCATATAAAGATACATTGTTTCATTTCTGACATTCTCACTGACGAGCAGAAAGTTATTACAGAAAGTCACAATCATCTGTGGGATTTGGAAGAGGTAGTGTAGGCTTACTTACCCTGAAATAATTCAGTGCTGCTTTTATTGTTTGACGTTCCTCTTCAAACTGGCTTGCATTTGTGTCTTATGGTACATTTTGCAGAAGAAGGAAGTAGTGTGTGACGCATCATGAGCGCAACACATGGCTTTTTATGCAGATCGTTGAAAATAGAGAGCCCTGACTGAACATCACAGCTCATGGCCACGCCCCAACCGCGTGAGCGATGCCCTGACACACACACACACACATTGGTTAAAGTGGGATTTGGTAGGTGTGGGAGAACCCTAAAAGTTTGTGTAGGTGCAACAGGGAAAAATTACTCACTATGGGAAAACATATTGAGTATCGTGGTATAGCAATACTTTTTGGGTCAAGAATGTTGCTGTGGCACCAAGTATCACTTATTTATTTGATATTTTAATGGTTTTATTTTGGCCCATCTACACTGATATGATTATGATGATACTGTTAAAATTGCTTAAAGGGTTAGTTCACCCAAAAATGAAAATTCTGTCAGTATTTACTCACCCTCATGTTGTTTCAACCCCGTAAGACCTTCGTTCATCTTCGGAACACAAATTAAGATATTTAAGATATTAAGATCGCTCCTGCATACAGTCCATAGGCTTCTTGAGGTACTGGCTCTTGCTGTCCTCGAAAAGTCATTAAAGACATCGTTAAAATAGTCCAAGTGACTACAGGGGCTCAATCTTAAGTTTATCAAACGACGAGAACACTTTTGTGCGCAAAAAAACAACAAAAATAACGACTTTATTTCAACTATCACTTCCTTCTCCATGAGCCTGTAAGTCAGTTAACGTAGTGTGATTGCGTAGAGCTACGTCACACGTAGGCTCACTATTGGCCGACGCTGGTCATGTGTGTGTGATGCGTGTGACGTACAATTACAGAAGCTTACGCTATTAAACTAGTAACCTGACTCGCGCAGAGGGAGAAATAAACGAATAGTTGAAATAAAGTCGTTATTTTTGTTGTTTTTTTGCGCACAAAAGTGTTCTCGTCCTTTGATAAACTTAAGATTGAGCCCCTGTAGTCACTTGGACTATTTTAACGATGTCTTTAATGACTTTTCGAGGACAGCAAGAGCCAGTCCCTCAAGAAGCCTATGGACTGTATGCAGGAGCGATCTTAATATCTTAAATATCTTAATTTGTGTTCCGAAGATGAACGAAGGTCTTACGGGGTTGGAACATGAGGGTGAGTAAATACTGACAGAATTTTTATTTTTGGGTGAACTAACCCTTTAACACTGGGACAAAAATTGAGCCCTGGCACTGTAGCCATGCCAGCCCGCATTATCATCCCCAGCCCCACCCACAGACATGTGCATGAAAAAGTAAGGTATTTAGGGGTGTTCGGGGGCATGCTCCCCCGAGAAAATTTTGACGTGCAATTTAAGAAGCAAATTTATTAGAGGTGCAACAATTGACGTTTCGATGTACAACTACATCTTCATCAGAGTACTTGGAGAAAATGAGTAATGAAGCCCTTAATAAGGATCATCAACAGGTGTGATTGTACGTAAAGGGGGCGTGACTCGCCCAGGTGCCATCAAAACCAACAAAACCAAGGTGCCACACTCAAACAATAATTAAAAACAAAAACCAAAAAAACAAACAAAACATGTATGGAATCCACATGGTATCAAGGGAACCACAACATCTACAACTCACAAAAAAACAACTCACTTTTTTTAGAGAAAGCAAGATAAGTTTAATTCTTCATTTAAACTAAAAGGTTCAAGAGTGTTGAGCGTATGTATCCAGAACGCTTCCCTGCATAGAAGTTTGTTAATAATATCACCACCTCTGAGTGGGGGTGAAATTTTCTCAATTCCCCAAAACTTCAAAGATGCAGGGGAACCATGATTGGCCTGCTTATAATGCCTCGCCATGGCATAAGTTAAGTTCTGGGTGCGAATTGCTGTTTTGTGCTCAGCTATTCTAAGTTTCAATGGGCTCTATGCACGGCGTTATTTCCGGTGAAGTATTAGGGATGCTCGATAACTTCCGCCGATCATAGAGTCCAATGCAATACCGAGAATTTATATTGAATTTTATACTCCATGGTTATACTAATGAAACGTTAGTCACAAAAACAGATAAAACAGACACCCCTCGTTGTGTTTATGCTTCTTTTTAAAATTATATTAAATAAACATAACTATATATAAAATTACATCTAAACGTATGTACGTTTCGTTTCAAAGACGGGAGGACAGTAAATATTGAAGACTCTGCCATAATCCCGTTTTCTCCGGTTTTCCTCTGCTTTAATCTACACAACCGGAAATGGACGAGCATCCTTACGTCAAATGCGGAACTTATGCGTGCATATAGCCCATTGACGCTTTGTTTGACCAATGTACACCAGTCCACATGGACACTTTAGCATGTATATTACGTGAGTGCTGTTACAATTAATAAATGAAGAAATAAAATATTTCTTACCAGTACGTGGATGTGAAAAGTCTTTGGTGTTGGTCGAATTGGAGCATTGCGCGCAGTTGCCACATTTGTAAAAGCCCAGAGGTGGGCTAGAGAGCCAGGTGGTCGGCAGAGGCGAAGTCATATCCGAATGAACCAATCGGTCACGAATGTTACGAGCGCGTCTGAACACAAATCTGGGTGGCTCAGCGCAGATGTCTTTAAGTGCAGGGTCACTGTTAAGGACATGCCAATGTTTTCGAATTATATTTTTTATTCTTCCTGCTGCTGTATAGCTAGTGGAAAAAATTATTTTGGATGTAGTGTGAAGCTTAGATTTTTTCTTTAACAATGAGGCGCGATCTGTATTTAGAGCCCTATTCCATGCTTTACTAATGTCAGATTTGTCATAACCACGTTGTTCAAAACGACGCGCTAGATCCGATGCTTTAGACAAAAATTCGCTTGTAGTGCTACAGTTTCTTCGGACTCTTAAAAATTGGCCCACAGGTATATTACGAACCAGATGAGGCGAATGATTACTGTCTGCTCTTAACAGGGTGTTCCTGCTGAGAGGCTTGCGGTAAATAGTGGATTGAAGAATATTATTTTCATCCTTAAAAATGGTAAGGTCTAAGAAATCAATAGACAACTTGTTAGATTCCATAGTGAACGACATATAGTCTGCGGTAGAGTTAACATAAGTCAAAAATTTAGACAATTCACTAGTTGTACCTTTCCATATTAAAAAAAACATCATCTATGTATCTACGCCAAAGTGCTAATTTTGAATGGAACGGGTTGTTTTTGATGTTCTGTATGTATTTTTCTTCCCAAGCATATGAAGGAGCAAACGAAGCATATGAAGGAGCAAACGAAGATCCCATAGCAGTCCCTTGGAGTTGTAAATAAAATTTATCCTTATATTTGAAAAAATTATTGGATAAGATAATCTCGACCAAGTTTAAAAGAAATTCGGATGGAGGTAAAACATCAGTGGGACGTCTAGTTAAATAATGTGAAATGGCTTGTAAGCCTATGCGATGAGGTATACATGTATATAGACTTTGCACATCCAGCAATACAAGGACATCATCACTTTCACACTTCCAGTTGTCAATCAAATTTAGAACATCAGTTGAATCCCCAAGATAAGATGGTAAACCATGGACATATTGTCTTAGAAAAAAATCAACAAATTGTGAAAGAGGCTCTGTTAAGCCTTCTATGCTGGATACAATAGGGCGCAAAGGAGGATCATCAAGTCGCTTGTGAATTTTGGGTAAACCATAGAATACTGGACATCGAGGATAGTCACTTAATAAAAAAGCCCTTTCTTTATCAGTAATCCAGGCTTTTTTATGAGACGAATCGATAAAATCATCAATCATACTTTTAGTGCTGGAAGTAGGGTTGCGAAGAAAGGGCTGATAATGTTTTTCATCATTTAATAATTTGAATATACCACAATCATAATTCTTTAATCCCATAACAACAACAGCGCCCCCTTTATCAGATGGGCGAATTATAATGTCCTGTTTAGCTTCTAAAGAACGTAACGCATCCAATTCACTTTTTGTCATATTCTTATTATTAGAGGTACAAGATCTACTTAATTTAGCCATATCCTGCTCAACTAACTGACTGAACGTGACAATGGTGGGATTTAAGTTAGAAGAAGGCAAAAACTTTGATTTCTTTTTAAATGATCCAGTCCTTTGATTCCCTTTATTTTCTCTTCATATCTCGTCTTTGCATTTAATTTAGCTCCGACCAGTGCTTGAAGTGGGAGAAGTGGTGAGAACTCTCACCAGAACTCTCTTGCATTGGCAAATCATGATATTTGACATTTCCACAGTGAAAAACAAAACTAGGATTGTTATTTATTAACAACATAAATGTATTTAAACAAGTGTGTGTGCGTGCAAAGAAATTCTTTTTTTAGCAGTTGGTCAGTAATAAACTTGATTCTTGAAGTTTGTTAAGATTGGATGTATACAACAATTGAATGTAAATGGTAAACAACAACAACAAAAAAAGCAGCTCTGCTATTGTCTTTTCAGTCATACTTCGATATGTTTACAAGAGAACCTTGAGACCCAGACCTTTCTGACAATATGTGTTTTGTCAAGATTAGAAAAAAAATTGTTCATAAATTATGAAATATAATGATACCCAAAAGGGGAGGAGCCTGATAAAATAAGTACCGTTTCTATGGTAACGCAACGTTCAATTATAAAACGGTTTTCACAGGGTGAATTCTGAGTTTATAAGCTTTCAAATGATACCTAATTTATGATAACTACTAAAATATGTGATATAATAAAAAAAGCGATGAAAAATATTGTTATATTTTAGAGGATAATATATACATATATATTATAATTTTTAGAGGATAATGTTATACTATACTTTTTATTTTTTATTGAAAAATACTAGAATATATGTTTTATTATGAATTTTTAGCATAAAAACAGAAGTTTCAATGATTAAAAGTGGGTGCATCAACTTTTTGTGACAAAGACCTCCTGTTATGATGCAGATTTTTTGAGGTGCACTCTTGTCATAAATTCATTAATTACTCTTACTACATAATTTGTAACACAAAAAAAGGGGTAGAATATTTATTTAGAAGTCTTAGACCTTTCCAACAATATATAATTTGTCATAATTAGATTAGGATTTAATAGAAATATATT